CTAGTGGCTTCCGGCCTTGCTTGGGGTGAAATGCTTAAAAAAAAAAAGTAAAACAACTATCAACATTGAAAATCTTTAAAATCATTTCATCCCACGCAAGAAAAGTAATTAAAAACAGTCTACCATTAATTGACGCAGCTAATTTTATTAGAATCATCTTACCTAATTAATCACAGATTTTTTTCATTTTTATTTTTATCATTTCAACCCAGGCAAGGCAATAAAGCCACTAAGAAACTGGGAGCTACTCAGCGTGGAAGAATTAGAAAAAAGCAATATTACTAAGGATAGAAAACTAATTAGTCTCCTTTTAATCGGCGCAAATAATTGTAATAGAAACATCTTCCCGAATTAATCAGTTTTTTTTTGGTTTTTTTATTTGTATCATTTCACCCCATGCATGGCAGTAAACCCACTAAGACGCAATAGGTTACTGGGTGTGAAAGAGAATCGTTAAAACATTAAAAAAAAAGTGTAAACAAAAAGACAGCTAAAAGATAACGATTGACATTGCATTTAAACTTTTAAAGGTCAAAAGTTGTCTGCAAAGCCTGGAGCCGGAAGAGAGTTCCACAAGCAAGAAGTGCGAGAAAACAAACTGTTACCGCAGATCATGAGGTTATATCAAGCCAACTTAGCTATGAATTGATATGACAGAACTGACAATACTACGCATAAATTTGTAAACTTTAGGTACCATAGCAAAGAGGTCATCCAAAAAAATTACAATGGAAGTAACCTACAAGCAAGCCACTAGTGGCCTGCTGGGGGGCCGCCTATAACAACGCCAGTGGTCCTATTGTAACATCCACCGGCGGGCTATCGGTGGGCTTCTAGCTGGGTCTACAAGTGTTAACATTACCGACAGCGAACACGTTGGGGGTCCGACAGCTAACCACCAGCGGGAAACGCTAGTGGCATGCCATCCAGAGGCAGATTGGTGTATTTCGTGTAAAGTGTTTATAGTATAGGCACAAGGCGGCTATATTATGACGGTGGGAAAGTGATTGAAGACCAAATGACAGGTCAGGACCAATAATATTGCTGACTCTTGTTTGGATATTTATCAAGAATCGCTAAATATATGGTAGGAGCATCGGACCATATATTGTAAGCATAGACGAATGGTAGACTTATAAATATGTAACACGGATTCTGTAGAATGACTCAGTGAACCAACTTTTTTGGCAGAAGATCTAGCAGATTAAATATAATCGTTCCTCTTCCTATCAAGACGAGAATATAGCCTGAGAAGACGTAACGTGTTACAATTCTGAAGGTTAGCATTGAAGAACTTTCAGGGTTCAGTTCGACATTCCAACCACCTGAAGAAGGCCGGAGCGTACAACGACCGAAACGTTGTAATAAATATGGCGACAAAGATGAGGACAAGAGTCCGAATAATGTAAATAGTGTACATAATACCTCATCTCAGAAATATAGACACATACTGAAGGGCCGAAACGTTGTAATAAATATGGCGACAAAGATGAATAAATATCCGGCGACAAAGATGATCTCAGAAAATAGTCCGAAAGGCCGAAATAATAAATATGGCGACAAAGATGAAAATAATGGAAATAGTGTACATAATACCTCATCTCAGAAATATAGACAGATACTGAAAGGCCGAAATGTTGTAATAAATATGGCGACAAAGTTGAGGACAATAGTCTGAATACTATAAATAATGAAAGAAACTGTTAGCATAGAACTTACGGTTACATCTAGCCAATTCAACTGTAAAATGATGAGACCTTGTCGCCAATCTAGTACTGCACTTAAATTCATAAAGTATAGATATCAAAGAACAATTACAATGAAAGTAATTATAGAAAATGTACAGGGAAGCAACGTTACGGCGATTGGAAAGTGACTGAAGCTGAGATGCTAGGTCAGGAACAATAATATTGCAGATACTTCTTTGGATTTTATCAAGAATCTCTAAATATATACCAGGAGCACCTGAACAGATGTTCTAGCAACAAGGACGAATGGTAGACTTATAAATATGTAAAAAAGATTCTGTAGAAAAAAATAATTTCTAGTAAGACTCAGTGAACCCATTTTTTTTTTTTGCAGAAGATCTAGCAGATTATATATAATCTTTCCACTTCCTGTCAGCCGAGAATGTTACCCTGAGAAGACGCAACGAGTTACAATACTGGAGGTTAGCATCAGCCATGGTGACACGAGGTAGAAACGTTTCTCGGATGATTAATAGGGAGAAGTTTCGTAATGGAGGCGTTAGAATTAACATGCCGTTACTTGCCCCATTTAACAACAGACTGAAAATCGTTTTGGACTTTAATTTTTATACAAGAGTAATTGTTGCGTCATCAGCATAGATACCAGGTTTAAAACTGATCTGATCAGGAAGGTCATAGATGAAAATCAAAAATCATTTAGGTCCAACTATAGTGACGTCTGCACCCATTAAGAAAAAAATCACGAAAAACTTCAATATCTGAGATACAAAATCCTGTTATCCCGGTAAACACTCAAAGAAAAAAAAATGAATTATGTTCAATAACTTTCGAAGAAAAAAAACATCTTTTACGTGAAGTCTAAGGTAAACGATTTAGTAAACGTATGCATCAAACAGTAAATAAATAAAATAACTGGAACAAAAAATGCAATACCTGCGGAAAATATGATGAAACTGTCGATCATATTATCTCAGGATGTCCGGAACTAGCAAAAAAATGAATATACCCAGAGACATAACAAGATAGCAACATATGTGCACTGGAATATATGCAAGAAGCACAAAATCGAAACCACTGAGAGATGGTATGAGCATCAACCGGACACTTACCCAAAATAATGATGTAACTATCCTCTGGGACATGCCAATTCAAACTGACAGGAAATAAAAGCCAAAACACCTAAATTTTATCATAAAAGACAAGAATGAAAACTGAGACTGTACCAATAGTAATCGCAGCTCTGGGCCTCATAAGAAAAGGAATGGACAATTTTACTAACAGTGTCCCAAGTAACATCAACATACAATTTGCCCAGAAGATCGCCCTACTAGGAACATCACATATACTAAGAAAAATGATATTAATTAAAGGACAATTCTCTTATAAGACCCAAGGACCATAGTTTGGAACCGGTTCTACAGGATACAAAGCAGGATATATATCATAGGCAAATAATAATAATAATAATAATAATAATAATAATAATAATAATAATGATTATACAATGCAAGAGACGAATCTGTAGTTAGTCTCTGATATCGTGATAAAGAAAAATATGGCGGTAACATGGCAGAAAATATGGAAATAAGTTTCAGACACAGTTACTCTAAATAACGATGTAACTATCCTCAGGGACATGGCAATTTAAACTGATAGGGAAATAAAAGCTAACAGACCTGATATTATCATAAAAGACAACAAATTCAGGAAGTGTATGTTTATTAACATTGTAGTACCATCTGAAAGAAACACCTCCATGGAAATGATCGAGAAATTGTCCAAATACAAGTACCTGGAGATCGGGATGAACAGGATGTGGGGAATGAAGACTGAGACTGTACCAATAGTAATCGGAGCACTGGGCCTCGTGAGAAAAGGAATGGACAATTTTACTAACAGTGTCCCAGGTAACATCCACGTACAAATTGCCCAGAAGATCGCCCGACTAGGAACAACCCATATACTAAGGAAAGTGCTATCAATTAAATGACAATTCTCCTATAGGGCCGAAGGACTATAATTTGGACCCGGCTCTAGCGGATAAAAAGCAGGAAACATAACATACACAAATAATAAGAATAATAATGATGATAATAATAATAATATTCAGGAAGTGTATGCTTATTGACATACGGGTGCCATCTGAGAGGAACAACTTCCAGAAAATGATCGAGAAATTAACAGGACGTGGGTAATGAAAACTGAGACTGTACCAATAGAATCGGAGCCTCCTGAGAAAAGGAATGTAAAATTTTACTAACAATGTCCCAGGTAACATCAACAGACGATCGCCCTACTAAGAACATCCCATATACTAAGAAAAGTGGTATTAATTAAAGGATAACTCTCCTATAGGATCTAAGGGCCATACTTTGGATCCGGCTCTATAGAAGACAAAGCAGGAAATATAAAAAAAAACAACAACATTATTTGCAGATATGGCGGTATGTTTTCCAGATCATATACGGTTTATCTTGTCCCTTCAGGACTGATGGAAGGGGTATTTCTTTTCAGGAGTGAGAGAAGTTGTGAAAATCAAATCATGACCGGGTGTCAAGGGGGTATCTTTTTTTTCAAGTTTGAAAGATGAGTCTATCAAGGCTAATTAACGAAATACTTGAAACGGCTGCAAAATGATGTCCTTTGGACTGTCTGGCCAAAACTTTAATTTTAGTTTGTTATGATAAGTAAGTGTTAATCTATATTCATTTGCGGAGCAGATGCTACCGTATTTTTTGTTTTGTGGAAACAAAAACTGAGTGAAAGAGATAGATAGATAGATAGATAGATAGATAGATAGATAGATAGATAGATAGATAGATGCATACATACATACATACATACATATGGTACATTTTTTAGATAGAAAGAAAGAAAGAAACAGATTAGATAGATAGATAGATAGATAGATAGATAGATAGAAAGGATATGGATTGAGATAGCTAGACAAACAGATAGAAAGATACAGAGATAGAAACAAATAGACTGAGATAGATAGATACATACATACATGCATGCATACATACATACATACATACATACGATAAATTTGTTACTTAGATCGATCGATCGAGAGATAGATAAGGAAAGTGATAGATAGATAGATAGATAGATAGAACAAACTGATTAGATAGATGAATGAATAGATAGATAGATAGATAGATAGATGAATAGAAACTATGAACAAACTGCGTTAGATAGATTAGATAGATAGATAGATAGATAGATAGATAGATAGATAGATAGATCATCAAAAAAGAAAGAAGGACAGAGAGAAAGGATTAAAATCGGCTATAGAGTAATGGGAATAAGATAGATAGATAGATAGATAGATAGATAGATAGAAACAAGTAGGCTGAGATAGATAGATAGATAGATAGATAGATAGATAGATAGATAGATCAGAAAAAGAAAGATGGACAGAGTGAAAGGGATTAAAATCGGCTATAGAGTAAAAGGGAATAAGACAGATAGATAGATAGATAGATAGATAGATAGATAGATAGATAGATAGATAGATAGATCAGAAAAAGAAAGAAGGGATTAAAATCTGCTATAGAGTAATGGGAATAAGATAGATAGATAGATAGATAGATAGATAGATAGATAGATAGATATGAACAAACTGCGTTAGATAGATAGATAGATAGATAGATAGATAGATAGATAGATAGATATGAACAAACTGCGTTAGATAGATAGATAGATAGATAGATAGATAGATAGATATGAACAAACTGCGTTAGATAGATAGATAGATAGATAGATAGATAGATAGATAGATAGATAGATCATAAAAAGAAAGAAGGACAGAGAGAAAGGGATTAAAATCGGCTATAGAGTAATGGGAATAAGATAGATAGATAGATAGATAGAAACAAGTAGGCTGAGATAGATAGATAGATAGATAGATAGATAGATAGATAGATAGATAGATAGATAGATCAGAAAAAGAAAGATGGACAGAGAGAAAGTGATTAAAATCTGCTATAGAGTAAAAGGGAATAAGACAGATAGATAGATAGATAGATAGATAGATAGATAGATAGATAGATAGATAGATCAGAAAAAGAAAGAAGGGATTAAAATCTGCTATAGAGTAATGGGAATAAGATAGATAGATAGATAGATAGATAGATAGATAGATAGATAGATAGATAGATACCGACAGGAAACAATAGAGTGCGAGTAAAAATTAATAAACAGCGAGAAAGAGAAACCCGAAATTGCTGTGAACAATTACATGAAGAACCAAAAATCTATGATGGAATGGCTAAGGAAAGTTTTTAGTCAGAGATCCAAAATTAAAGAAACAAATTTGGAAAATTGTACGAAAGACCAAAAGAAAGAACTAACTAAAAACAAACATGGATATAAAATTCTCTGTCTATCGAAAGTCCTCGCCAGGATATAAGACCTGTCTCCACAGTCTGCAACACATCAGCCTCGATTTGAAAATAATGGCCTCTTTATCAGTAATAAGGGAGCTGTTGATAGATTTAATATATATTTTTACGTTTCTTTTTTTGTTTTGTTTTGTTTTGATTTTGGTTTACCATAATAGTAAGGCATTATGTAAGAGAAATGTATTTCTACTGTCAATAATAATAACAACAACTAGACCAATTTCAACAGACAGAAATCGAAAATCTTGGAATCGTCTGCCGAAGGCTGTTTGGTTTTGTCGTACGCAAATATTTTCGCCCATTGTTTGCTGGGGAGTTCTCTTTAGGATAAATGAGTGAAAACTAGAAATTAATGGATTCTAAATAGAAATGAAGAATACGGTAGCCAAAAAGAATAGAAACGAAAAAAAAAAAGGAAAAAAAAAAAGAAAAGAAAAAAAAGGAAAAAAAAATGAAGTCGTTCGCCAAGCCTTAAGGAATTCGTACTGAGTTATTTTATTATATTATTTTATATTTAGGATAAATAATTCCTTTTTATTTTTGTCTTAATTTGGTTTGTCTAGCGAGACGAAGATATGCGAAAGCTGTTACTGGATAAAGAAGGAAACATTTTTAAAAATAGTAAAACAAAGCAAAATTGTTTTGTGTGTGTGTGTATGTGTGTATGTATGTGTGTATGTGTGTGTGTACGTGTGTGTGCATGTGTGTATATATGTGTGCGTATGTGTTTGTATGTGTGTGTATATATGTGTATGTGTGTGTATATGTGTGCATATGTGTATGTATGTGTATGTACGTGTGTGTATGTGTGTATGTGTGTGTATATGTGTGCATGTGCGTGTATATATGTGTGTGTACGTGTGAGGCACAGTGGAGTAAGGAGGCACGGTGGAGTAATGGATAGCGGCTTGGATTGAGGAATCGAAGAGCCAAGTTCAAATTCCAGTCGAATCCATTACATTCACTTACGTGCTAACACCCTTGGGAAAGGTGTGAATCCTCTTCTTCTCCTTCCAGCTATGGGTAAATCGCAGGACAGACTGGGTTCTATAGCCTTGGATGGCAACTGGTCTAGGAGAATGACAACTCTGAATTCAAAACCTGCGCAAGGTGAATGGAGTCTCTCTGAGCTTTGGTTGGAAATCCATTTAGTGATGGTGTCACGATAAAAACACCCGATAGCCCTAGCGAAGCATCAAGAATTCAGCTATTTGACAAGATTACGAACTACACCAATCAAAGTATTGGCTATGACAGATAAGGAATACTGGAAAGGTGTAGTGAGTTCAATCTCGGCTGATGCCGCATGATGATGATGATGTACGTGTGTGTGTGATGCAGAGAGGGAGAGATAGAATTACAGAGAATATGGTGGGGAAAAAAAAGAGATGAAGAAGTTGCCTGGGAATTAATTTTAGATTCATACTTTTTTCCTCAGTATTTTTTCACCTTGTACAAGGCCCAAAATCCACTCGAGGCAGAGGGTTACTTCGTAAGCGGTAAGGGTCACCCTTTTTTAAGGTTACATGACGAAGATAACGGTTAACCCCGGTCTTGAACAGATTAAGACAGCAGTGATCGAGGAATCATCCTCTGGAGAGTTGGATCCGCAAAGGAGAGGACAGTGGGAAGAAACTACACGAGTGGAACTTTTATCTCACCAGTTAGATACGAAGGTAATGAGGCTGGTTCGCTGCCGTATGCGTAGCTTGCCGAGTCTTGACCATGTTAGTGAGAACTGGTGCAACTAAGGATTGTGGTTCGTCTGATCACTTTCCATGGCAAACAGAGTTAGAGCAACAACAGACTTGCGGCTTTTCGTCTGTAAGAAAGATGTTACAGGGTGGAGAATCTTTAAGAGTCGCTCAGGGCACGCCCCCTCCCCGTGAGAATTTAGCATCGTGCTATCACTTTCCTCCCAATGTCAATTTTTGTGCGAATCTGTGCAAAAAGTGGATCATAGTGCCTTGATATTTTTTTCTCGCATCTCATTGGTCAGTTAATATTAAAAATCCTGTTCTCGCCTACGTCCGTACAACGTCTACGCGTCATTCAACACTATTTTCCCGCTAAAAAATCAGCTTTCCCGAGCCGATCACGTGACTACGTTGATTATAAATACCAGACAAAAGTTTGTTCATCCTCTTTTTGGTTACCAAAATGTAGCTGTTTAAGAAATCGCGTTTCGACCCCTTACGGGCGGACGCTATGAAAACATTACACGCATACACGTACGTACGGAATATTTACATATACGAATTCACTCAAACACACTTACATTCACTCTTTCAATTTCAAGTTACAGAATTCTTTCAACTCTCTCATAGTGAGACCAAAACATGTCAACCAGACATATCGCTGCTACGCTAAAGAAATTTAACTTGGATATTCCATATTCCAATTCTTCACCAGCATGAAAACATTTAAAAGAGTCTTCTGAAGCGACTAGTTTACCGAACATATTTTCAGGTTTTCAGGACACAATTCAAAGAGTGTTGAATGACGCGTAGACGTTGTACGGACGTAGGCGAGAACAGGATTTTAATATTAACTGACCAATGAGAAGCGAGAAAAAATATCAAGGCACTGTGATCCCCTTTTTGCACAGATTCGCACAAAAATTGATATTGGAAGGAAAGTGATAGCACGATGCTAAATTCTCACGGGGAGGGGTCGTGCCTTGAGCGACTCTTAAAGATTCTCCACCCTGTAACATCTATTCAACGGAATTTAATCTTTGGTGAACATTTTCTTTAGCGGCAAGATCTATTGCCTTCGTTTTCAAAAGTACACAAACGAAATTTCATTTAATACAAAACAGTAACTTCTTGAAATATCAACGAATAATTTAAAGTTCCTTTTAACCAAACAAATTCTCACGGAATTCATATTACACAAACAATTTCAACTATTTCACAAAGAGAATTTCTTATAAAAACAAAATCTTTTTCATTGTGAGACCAGATAAATATTCTTCCTTTCGAAGAAAACATTTTCAGATAATTAAATTCATAGTTAAGGGTAAACAGCTCTTATCTGTTGCATTGTACATTTTGTACCAAAAACAGTTTTAAACGAACATATAAAGCATTTTAATTTGCTAAGTTAAAGATATTGATCTTTGAAATTCATTATAATTCAACTAAATATTCTGAGGAGTTTATGCTTGATAATTTGGATGATTAGTATATAAATATGTTTGTTGTTTGTCGCTATAAAAAACAGTTTTGTATATTGTTGGCGAGTCGACCGCAACAAGAAAACCCGTTCATCGCGATAGACCGTCCTGGGTAAGACGATAAACTACAACCCGCGTCCAGGATAAGACGATAACCTACATCCGCATCTGGGTAAGACGATAAACTACATCCGCGTCCAGGGTAAGACGATAAACTGCATCCGCGTCCAGGGTAAGACGATAAACTACATCCGCGTCCTGGCTAAGACGATAAACTGCATCCGCGTCCAGGGTAAGACGATAAACTGCATCCAAGTCCTGGGTAAGACGATAAACTACATCCGCATCTGGGTAAGACGGTAAACTGTATCCGCGTCCTGGGTAAGACGATAAACTACATCCCTGAAACCATCCGCGTTCTGGGTAAGACGATAAATTACATCCGCGTTATGGGTAAACTGACGATCCTGGGTAAATTAATAAAGTACATCCCGCGTCCTGGTCCTGTAAGACGATAAACTACATCCGCGTCCAGGGTAAGACGATAAACTACATCCGCGTCCACAGTAAGACGATAAACTACATCCGCGTCCAGGGTAAGACGATAAACTATATCCGCGCCCTGAGTATGACGATGAAATGCATCCGCGTCCTGGGTAAGACGATAAACTACATCCGCGTTCTGGGTAAGACGATAAACTGCATTCGAGTCCTGGGGAAAACGATAAACTGCATCCGCGTGCTGGGCAAGACGATAAACTACGTCCAACAACAAACCCCCTGATCAGAAGGTTTTGAGGCGTGTGGAACCACCTCTTAATTGCTCACGTTCCTAGGTCCTCTCTGGCCCGCAGTGGTAGCACCTGTTAGGGTCCTAGCTATGGGCAAATAGCTGAAATTCAAACTTGTGTAAAATTAGGTTTAAATACCAGAAATACTTTGTAATAAAAAAAATATTAACAGCAATAATTTTTTAAGAAAAAATTGTTGTCAGCAATACTTAAATAAAGTACTAGCAATACAAACAGCTATACTGTCATTGAAAAAATATTACCAGCTATAGATTTCTTCAAGAAAATAGATATTTGAAGAAAAACATATTAGCAGCAATAAAAAAATTGTCGGCATTAAAAAACCCATTGAGTTTGATATGCCGTAAAACAAAACAAACCAAATAATCATCGCGACAGACAAAAATTCGGGACCTGCTCGAGGATGATGGGAAATGGCTTGTTGATTTTGAAAGCACTGAATGTAACTAACTAGTTTTTCCTCTACTGATCTGTTAGAATCAGATCTGCGGAGAGATCAGCAGCAAGGCTCTGGTCATCTAGAACTTTGAAAGAGTAACCATAAAGTGTTGTTTCATAAGCGCCAATACCCACAAAATAAGGGATCATTATTTTAGAGAATTGTATATTTACGAGGTAGGATCAAAAAGTATCGGGACTGGCTCTATAAAAAAAAACAAAAAAAAACTACAACACATATCAATTCGGCATCTAATCTCCTTCGAAATAATTAATCGGCTATTGCATCCTTAGGAGGGAAGGTGAATAAACATACTCCAAACTCAGCACGGTTAAATCTAGAAGTTTTGGCCTTCGGCCACATTATGTTACGCACCAGTTCCCGTACGTTCACGGAAGTTAAGCAGCATCGGGCCGAGTCAATACATAGATCGGTGACCGCTTAGGAATATCAGATGCTGTAT